TCGGTTAAAACTGTCAGAACTGCATCTTTACGATCTAATATAAGACTGTTGTCACTAAATGTATGATTTATGCATGTTTTAGATGCTCTGACAATTTTGTAGACTATTTTTGTAAGCGCATTTCAATGAGATGGATAGGAAATAGTGTCCTCGGCAGTACATGCGGAGTTCCTCAAGGATCTAATTTAGGTCCACAGTAATTTATATCGGTCGATTTTTGAAATCTGATTAAAACTGATCAAGTTTTTAGGTAAAACTGGTTTTGAAACGATTTATTTGACTTGTCCGGTTATTTATATAAATTATTAGTGTTTTTATTTAAATAGATTAAAATCATAACATATAAAACCATAGCCGTATTTGGTATGGTAAGCGATTAGAAATTGCTCATTTGGTTAAGTAATATTTTTATATAAAATCGTCCGGTTGCGTCAACATATTCTTTGAGATTTTATGTCCAATATTTAGCAGATTTTGCTAAAAACTGTTATTTAATATCAAACTAGGCAATGCCTTTAAATAAACTCGCCAAATTGCTCAGTTTGAGACGCATTTGCTATCCTTTGACAACCCAAATCTGAATGACTCGTTTTTTATATTAATCATCACTCATTGTTTTTTTCGTGACTGCATCATTTAAAATGCGGAACCACAAAAGCACAAAGACTTGTGACAAAGAACTCGAGAAGTTATAAAATGAACCCTACTTGAAGGAGTGAATTTAGTTCATGTATAGAACACCTAAATGGCTTAATAAAAAAACATAATTAAAAAAAACATACAGACGAATTGAGTACTTCCATCTTTTGGGAAGTCGGTCAAAAAGAATTACAATGTTCGTAAGATACGGGCTCCTTAGCAGGATTAGATTTTTTTTCACACTACCGCATCACTTCAGTCAGTCCGTGAACATGGCGCATGCAACGCCGAAATATCGGGAGCTAAAACAATCCAATCGCTGAAGAAACCAATATTTTACGAACATTATATTTGTAAAAACCACGACAGTTTAAAGTGATATTATTAAAAGAAGTTTGTTTTAAGCAATAGGTACAAAATTGTGATTTATAATGAAGTCCAAGTGCACACTTACAGTAAGCAATATTGCTCAGTTTATTCCTTTATACCGCGTTTATTTTAAGGCTGCTAAGATCTACAGTCCATGTGGTAACCACGGGTGTAGCCAGACTGATTCAAGTTAGGTTTAGATCTAAAGTTATTTAGATGCTACTTAGACGTAAAAAGTTATTTGATTGTCTCTTCTTTTTGAATAACGTTAATCTTTGATCAATTTTTTGTAATTTTGATAAGAATTGTAGAAGTCTGTGATGGCGTCATTTTCTCACAATTATAAGAGATTGTAATGCTGTAGATGTTTATTAATAATTCTCATATATGAATGAATTATCATATAATTTATATTTAAACGTTTGCCATTTGCAACAGAAGGACATAGTAAAAGCTTTTGAAGGCAGTAATTTATCAAATGACAATCTGAAAAATAAAATTCAGATTTTTTTTAAAATAAAGATTGTTTTATCACTACTAAAATACAACAAACAAGTTCTTTATTTAATATAGTGAATATGTGAAAAAATAGGTAAGGATTTCTACATATTTTTTTAGATTTTCTCCGTTTTGCCAATGGACACCGACTTTAATATAATTAATTGTTGCTATCCTTATGGTGCTTAAGTTATCATATTAGAAGTGTTGGCTTACATGGCCTTAACCATATATCTTTGTATTTGACAAATTATTTTGGGAATCCCATTTTTTTACTTAATACAAGGCTAAAAATATGTTAGAAAAAATGTGTGTTCTTTTTTTATATCTTTTAAAAGAAATCACTTATTCTAAAATGGGAAATTCCGTATTGTTATAAATGTGTTGTACTTTAAAAAGAATTGACAAAAACGTGTTGATTTTGCTCTAAGATTTAATGTAACGAAATATGATAAAAATAATTTAAAATACAAAGTGAGGAAATACGTTTGTTGTGTTATTGCTAGATTGTAAAGGTTTGTAACTTAAAGAAATAAAGGTAAACGTTTAATCAAACAAAACTAATTTTATAAGGTCGCGCCACACATTTCACTAAACTATCGCACAACTGTTTAGTCGCGCTTTGATCTCTTTGAGTTTATATGGTTACACTAATCGATTTTTATTTGTGCAACTAAACAGTTGAATTGGCTGCAAAATAATCGACAATCGCACAACTGTCGTGCGATAGTTTAGTCAAAGATGTGTCCGCTCTTATAATCATTTTAAATAATACGTAAGTTCTAACCTGTAAATTAATTTGAAAGAATTATGAGAATCAGAATTTAAAGCTTATATCTTGAAATCTATATTGATAACATTATTATGTACTAGCTTTCGCCCGCAACTCAGTCCGCGTGGTGTTAAAAAAACAATAGTAAGTAGCCTATGTGTTCTTCCAGGCTATGCTCTACATCTATGCCAAATTTGATCGCAATCCGTTCAGCCGTTTAGACTACAAACTAACAAACATCCATCTAAACTTTTGCATTTATAATATTAGTAAGATGTGTTTGTCCCTTTTTGACCGACTTCCCAAAAGGAGGAGGTACTCAATTCGTCTGTATATTTTTTTTTCGCATTACAATACATGTCTATTTAAACAATTAACACAATAATGAAAAATGTTATTTCTCGTTTATTCTTTATTGCATCTTTATCTCCTGGCGTCAAGTATTATGTATCTCGTAATAACTGCATATAACAAATGGCATCCACCATTGTTGTTATTCTAATTGTATCATTACATTGTTTATTGTGTCATTAAATTGTTTTCCTCATAGCTTTTGTCATGTATATTTCATACTAGTTGTTGCTCGTGATTTCGTCCACGTGAAATTAAAAAAATATAAAGTATAGTCTTATTCAGCGGTAACGTAGCTTTTTAATGGTGAAAGAATTTTTGAAATCGACCCAGTAATTATTTCAATGCAAACATCCTAAAATACAAATCTTTTCTGCTACCTCTTTGATGGCCTTTTTATGTTTTAATGATGTTCATAGGTACTATGTTCCCTAAATAAAAGGTGACAGTGCAATTGCATTACGTCTTTTATTCTTTCCAATCCGGTAATTATAACAAAGTAACGGCTCGTGCCGAGGCTCCTGAGGCAGCCCTCGAGCTTAGTTACTCATAAACGAGGTTTAGGCTAAGCGCCTTGCGCTCGGCCACCTCAAGCCCGGTGAATCTGTAAATGTCTTTTCAAGGCAAACAGTGGCCATTCAGTCACAAAAAAAAATATCCTGAAGTGGGTGAGCTGAGGATGACTGCGTTTAAATCCGGAATTATTTATGCTGTTTTATCAACTTTTGATATAATTTTCTAAACACGAAATAAATCTGTAAGTATACAGATGTGATAAGTTACTTTTTTAGGCTATATAGAGTAGCCTTTTATAAAAAGGACAAGTTTTTGATGTCACGTTGACGAACTATTTGCATATGAATATGAACCCTGTTGTGGGTATTTTCCTTTCAAATACATTATAAGTTGTCAATTGTTTTTGTTATGTCGTGGGTTTTCATTATAATATTTGCAAAAACATTATTGTCACTACTTTTTCAGATATTGAGAACGATGATAATTTTTTGTATTTGTCATTCAATGCAAAACCGGCACGTTTTGTTTTTTTTGGTCCAAGTTTTAAGGAAAACTTTGGTCTACCTCACTTGTTAACTGGTTACTAAGTGTAGTTTGCTAGTGGATTTTGACAGAGTTCAATGACCTGCACATTTTCATTTGGAACCAGAGACCTTTAATAAATGAATAGACAGGACATTCCACTAAATGATATGGTAGAGTTTCGGTTACTTATAAATGCGAAAGTTTAGGATGTATGTTTGCTAGAGTTTGTCGCCTAAACTGTTGAACGGATCTCGATGAAATTTAACATACATGTAGTCTAGTCTCGAAGAACACATAATCTAATTTGCTTTTTGTATCTACGCGAACGGAGTCGCGGGCAAAAGCAAGTAATTGCATATTTATGCAAATGTAAGGTCGTCTACAAGGTTCGAATACAAAATTCACGTATAAATGTAATTTGTAGATTCTTTTGTCGAAAATGATTGACGATGAGTTTGCGATACTTCAAGGTGATGTTACAAGTCGTTAAAATTACGTTAAACAAACTTTTATACCTTAGTATGAAAAATGAAAACATATTTTACAAAAAACTTGCGACTTCGCCCGAGTGAAATTAAGAAAAAAGTTAAAATGTAGCTTATGTTACTCAGTGATAACGTAGCTCTGTGGTGAAAGAAATTTTGAAATCGGTCCAGTAGTTTTTGAGATATTTCCATACATTCAAAAATACAAAATTAGACATCTTTCCTCTTTATAATATTAATGTAGATTAGGGGATAAAATACTTGAGGTCCCCATCTAGTATGAGATGGAGAGGACGCGCACGGGTTCCCGCGCACAACTGAGGCTGAACGATCGTTGAGGAGGTCCACAACCATCATCATTGGGGTGTGTAATGAATATTAATAAGTGGCCATGCCCCGGTGAACGGAGAAGTCGAGGGAACCTGAGGGGGTTTATTGGGTAGACTCCACGTTCCTTCCCTCTTGGGCAGGATTGTGGAGAGAGTCCCACATACCCTGTGTGTATTTCCCCAAGGCACCTGGTATGCGTAACGCATTCCCCCTATTAAAAAAAGAGGTTAAAATACTTTACCTTGATTAAAGTATGTCTCATTTATAATTTAACACTGTGAGTAGAGGCTGACATAAGTACTATCAGGGAATTTGGCGGTGTTCAACCAATAAAGCAATCATTTGAAAGTTTTGTACGCATTTACCACTCGTACGTCGGTCGGTACATGGCTGATTGCTTTTTGTTATTCCGTTTTGCGCATCTCACTGCTGCCTTTAGTTATTAAGATAAGAAATATATCTCTTTATTCCAAAGTGTTGTTAGTAAATTAACATATTTTTCTTTTTTTTTTCAGAAAAATGGACGAACGAATGAAGCACAGGCTAACAATCACGTAAACAAAAGAATCAAGAATCATTTTAAGTAAACAAAATCTCTACTAAGGATAAATGAATGAAGAATTTAGATATATTTAAATTGAATTTATAAAATTATTTGTACAATATGCCGGCCATATTGACAAAGATACGGGAGCAGGCGTTTCGAGTGCAGCCCAGCATTGCCGTAGGGGTAGGCGTGGGCGTGGCTCTCGCCGCGTGCGCTGTCTACGCCAGGGAAAAGAAACAACCCCCACCCTGTCATAACAACAATAACTATAAGGTAATATACTATAAATAATACTGTACCAATATTATAAAGATAAAAGTATTGCATTTTTGTATTTATTGTAATAACTCAAAAACTACTAGACTGATTTCAAAAATTCTTTTACAATTATAAAGCTATGTTTTTATGTAAATAGGCTATATTTTTATTATCCCTTAATTTCATGGACGAAGTCCCAAGCTACAACTAGTCATAAATCCAGAATCTATAGAAGGGTTCTTATTAATTTACTTTTGTTATTTATATTATTACTCAATCAAGTAGTTTGTTTCACAAAATCAATAAATTTTAAATTATTAATTATTTTTCTTTTTTTAGTTAGTAAAATACTGTACAATACGACCATGAAAGACCACACAACTATTAATAATAAAATCAATTATTAAACATCAATAATAAATAGCTTTTAAACGTTTGTAATAAAAACTATTGGATATTTATTATATGCAATTACGAAAGATTTGATCGTGAGATTACATAAATTGGTGTATTGACTCCAAGCAACACTACTCATATTTAGAATCATCATTATTCGCCTAATGTTCCAGGTGGTAAAGAATGGGACACTACAAGCAATGCAGAACGGGGGTGGAGAGGGTCAGGAGTGCGGGCGCTGCGGGGAGGAGCAATGCGCCCTTTGTCGGGGGGATGCTGACACTGACAACAAGCAGAACATCGTTAGTACAAAATACCAGAGAAATACTCTATTAGTTAAAACTATGGACATAGTCTGGTTGTCGGTTTGATCCCGACTTTGGACTCTTTCTCTCTCTTTCTAGACTGGTCAGCTTTCTTTGCCAATCTCCTCCTCTTCGCTCTATCTAAGACATTCTGATTTAAACCTAGGCACTCATGTGTATTCCTCTACATCTTTCTATCTTCTTTTAGGTCTGGTTTTAACTCTTCGATCGGGAAACCGGTAACTACCGATATAATCCCGCTGCCTTCTTATTTTGGACTAATCTCATAAAAAAGTCTAGCCTCTCATGATTATAAGAAATTGAGAATATAGTTTTCAAATATAACTTGAATTTTTAGTAATTCTCGGACGTTACTGTTCTTTCCAGGCGGAGGCAGACGAAGCCCCAACTCCTGAGGAACACGTGCCTGGCCTAAACTTAGAATTCCTACGACAACTGCTGTCTCTAGTGAGGATCATGGTACCTGGTCTGCGCAGCCAGGAGGTGGCGTTGCTAGCAGCTCATACGTTGTGCTTGTTCTCTAGGACCTTCCTCTCGATATATGTCGCATCACTGGAAGGGTCTATTGGTGAGTTCTCTAAAGCCCTCATAGACCACTTTAGAAATCACACTTAAGAGTGATTTTTTATCTAGGTATAACTAATATTTAGGAAAGATTTGTATTTTTGTATGTATTGACATAACTCGAAAACTACTGGACCGATTTCAAATATTCTTGCACCATTAAAAAACTAGGTAACCACTGAGTCATATAAGCATTTTTACTACCACGCGAACGAAGTCTCAAGCAACAGGTAGTATATGAAAAGGTGTCAAACGAGCAAGCGGTCGCGTGAATTCGTTGTAAAGATGGAATTGCAGATGCGTTGCCAAACCTGAATTTACGAAGGAGACGCACATGAAAGTAATATTTCCACTTCCTATGCGTCTCCGTTGACAAATCCACTTTCCCTTCTCATCGTTATAAGAAGGTGGGAATGGAAAGGGACTATAATAAGGCCTAGAACAAAAAGAGTGATGTTTTCTTTTCCAGTAAAACACATAGTACAAAAAGACCTGCGTCACTTCACGTCACTTCTGGTACAATGGTTCGGTATCGCTGTACCAGCGACATTCGTCAACTCGATGATCCGCTACTTGGAGGGTCGTCTCGCGCTCGCGTTCCGTACTCGTCTCGTCAACCACGCGTACGAATTGTATTTCAAGAATCAAACTTATTATAGAGTTGCCAATCTTGATGCCAGGATAGAGAACGCTGATCATAGGTAAGATGCGCCTTTTTCTATACTAATATTATAAAGGAAAGATTTGAGTTGTTGTATTTTTGTATAAATTTAAATAACGCAAACACTGGGCCGATTTTAAAAAATCTTTTAAAAAAATTATTTGTAACATAGTCGAAGTCGCGCGCAACAGCTAGTATACTATAAGGTGGCAAATGAGATAGCGGCCACCTGAAATCGCCAAAATGGCGAAGCGACCCATACAACTGTAATAGCAGATGCGTTTCCTACCTTTAAAGACGGAAGACGCATGTTAAGATATTTTCGCTTTTGCGCCTCCTCCACTCTGATATCTACTTTCCATACCTTATAAGAAGAGTGAGAAGGGAAAGGGATTGAATTAGGCACTCACACTTATCAGACTGTACGTGAAATTGCTCCCACTTCACGCCTGTATTCTGTGTGGTCGTGGTATTGCTGGTGCCTTACAGCGCGAAGATGTTAAAGCGGGCTCTACCACTATTAAAACTTTGTATTGTATTTTGCTTTCTTATGTGTTATTCTAATGACATATAAAGTTCTGTGTGACCTAGAAAAAGAAGAATGGATTGCGGAAGGTGACATGATCAAGAAGAGAGTGACTGAGATGACGTATGATAGAGTTATGTGGAGGACAAAAACCACCAATGGGAGTAGGATAAAGAGATGATGGTGGGTAATTCTAATAGTGTATGTGTTTAGGCTGACTGAGGACGTGTCCGTGTTCACGCAGTCGGTGGCGCACCTGTACAGCTCGCTTACGAAGCCCTGCTTCGATCTGCTGCTGATTGTCCTCACCCTCGCTACGTACTCCAATAAGATGAAGGGCAACATCTTCATAGGTTGGTATTCCAATAATCTTATGATTCATACCGATTTATCATTATTATATACTTCTATATATAATTCAGATGGATGGATGTTTCTTAGGAAGATATCTTCAGAATGGCTTTACTGATATCGCTGAAATTTAGCATACATGTAGAACATGGTCTTTAAAACATTAAAGGCTTTCCCCACTACTGGCTGATAGAGGCTCAGATAGCTTAAAATGACGTCACTGTCATGGGTAACAAAATCCCATATTTCCATCACATTTTACACGTTGGATTGTTATTACAGACAGGCCTTTAACTTACTTATTATTGTTTTGTGGTGTAAAAATGTCTATGTAATCGAAAACCCTAATTTTGTACACATGATTTATTTGCGATGTTGAGAAAATTCTGTATAGTACTGTATTTCCCCAAGGGTTAGTACGTTCCGGGCAATCTCCGTATCGGTTAAACCGATTTTAATTCGACTTTTATGTCATAGCTAATAAGGTTTATTTTAGATAATTTCCATCGACGAAGTTTATAGGTTAGAGTGGTATGGGCATGTTATGAGAAGGGATGAATCTCATGTAACAAGACGGATGTTAGTTATGAATGTGGAAGTACACCGGTAGAGGTAGACCTAGAAAGAGATGGATGGATTGCGTGAAAGGTGACATGATCAAGAAGGGAGTGATGACTGAGATGACGGATGATAGAGTGCTTTGGAGGACGAAAACCCGGTGCGCCGACCCTACGGGAGTAGGATAAAGCAGGGGAGATGATGATGATGATGATGACGTTTATGGCCACCCTAGTTACGATATTCTGTGTACCACCAGGTCCAGGTATAGCGACGGTGGTGATCTGTCTCACTGGGCAGCTGCTGCGGCTGCTCAGTCCGCGCTTCGGTGCGCTGGCGGGCGAGGAGGCCCGCATGCGGGCTAACCTGCGCCACGCCCACAGTCGCCTCATCACGCACGCGGAGGAAGTCGCCTTCTATGGCGGACATAAGGTAAGAAAAGTAACGATATATTTAACGGTTAATGTCGGCAACAACTACTTATTTGTTTATTATTTGTGCATAATTATTATTGCAATAATTATAATAAAACAAAAACAATTGTTATACAACCACACAAGCGCTACAAGAAGAAATTCCGCTCTTCGTTTGATCAGTGTGTTTGCTTAAAGCCTTATCACCTCACCCTTTTCTGCAGAAATTATGGAAATGGTAAAAGGATTTGGCATAGGAAGGGACCTTTGAACCCTTCTCAAAGCCCTGAGGAGGTCCTCATCCATCAATTCAATGAAGGCAAAGCATCTGCTTGGTATTTGCTATATGTCAGTGAATCCAGGTGTCGTCCTGTAATTTTTCCTTATGATGTTAAAATCCTCTCTTTAACATCCCCTACCCTACAGAGTCCAGAGGCAACCCTTCCTATCTTTATAGCAAAATAGGATAGGTAAGAAGACTAGGCCTCCACCACTATTCATCAGAAGAAACATTAAATAACTTCTATTGACGAGTTTCTTCTATCACGAGAAGGAAATTGGGACAGGAAATGCTGTTACGGTATCTACCATAGCTGAACATTCTGCAGGTGGAGCTAGGCCAGCTGCAGAGCGCGTACAAGGAGCTGGTGGTCCAAATGACGACGGTCTTCAACAAGAAGCTGTGGTACGTGATGCTGGAGCAGTTCTGCATGAAGTACGTGTGGTCTGGTACTGGAATGGTCATGTTGGCGCTGCCTATCCTCACTGGCAGGCGGAGTGATGGTGAGCAACGATAGCATACTCAGAAACGTTTATTAATCATTAAGGAAGTTCCTTAGGTGTTGTTAAGGGACTGTTGTTCTTCGAATTACTAAGATGCTAAAATCCGTAAAGATCTAGATAACTCAAAAACTACTTATCAGTTTTTCCTATTGTATTGCAAAAGCATTACTTTTAGAATAAAAATAATAACATTGTACTATTTTCCCTACATCTACATTTTCCAAGGGCGTCGCTGACCACCTCGGTGTTCTCGCCGCTCGTTTGCCCCCGTTTATTATAAAAAAAAAATCTAGCCACATTAGGGTTACTAACAGTATAATTTTACTAAAGGTCTAAGAAGAAACATAGAGATATAATATTTAGCTTTAGAAAAGCAATTTCCGTCTTTTACCAACCAAAAGGAGGTTATCTGTATTTTTATGTCTGCATATCTTCGGTTCTTTTGGATCGATTTAGCTGCCTTTTTATTCGAAAGCGTTTGTAAATTTGTATAATGTTGTATGATGTATGTTGTATGTTGTTGTATGTAGAGAGCAACGACGAGGGCATCAGCGCCCGCACGGAGTATATGACGACGTCCCGGAATCTGCTGAACTCCGCCGCTGATGCTATCGAGAGACTCATGTCCAGTTACAAGGTCAGCTTCTTTCTTACACTCTTCTCTGCTAAACTACATGATTAAAGAAAAAAACCATTTTCTTCCACGAACATACACCTCTTTTTTTGTTAAGCTTAGAGTTATAGTGCATTTTTTTTATGTTGGTGTTAAAATATGCTATTGTGGTCAGTTTTGTCCAACATTAAAAACCTACATTGGTAACTAGAGAGGGCGCCACATACAAAATTGATGACAAATACTGTTGTAAGACAGTTCAACCGAATTTCAACCATGTCACATAGCAATAAAGTCTAAAATCTTCTAAATACTTACGATCATTCGTTGTTCAAAGAAATTAAACGTTTTCTAAGCACTGGAGTGTCCAATAAGGCCTATTTACTATGTAATTTAGTTTATTTAAACCATAAAAAATAATTATTGCTTTAATTTAATTAAATACAATTTACAAGAAACTTGCAACATGTAAATGGGCGTTTATGTTCAAATATATATAAATGACCATTATCGCGTAAGAGTTACAATTCATCATTGTTGTTTGTTTTTTTTTTTTAATATCAGTAGATTTCTGTTGATTTACTAATATTTCCTTTAACCATTCCAACTAAGCTCTAGGCTTGTGCTGGGATATGGTTTACAATAGTCGAATGGCAGGATTCGAACACTCGACCGTAAGATCGGTAGTCTGTACCCCAAACCATTAGGCTATTGGTGCTTGTTGTTGTTGTTTGTTGGTGTTGTTGTTGTTTGTTGTTGTTGTTTTTGTTGTTGTTGTTGTTGTTATTTGTTGTAATTACCGCGTGTGTCGCAGGAGGTGGTGACGCTGGCCGGGTACGCGACGCGCGTGTCCGACATGCTGGTGGTGTTCGGGGAGGTGGCGCGCGGGCGCTGCGTGCGCGCGGTGCACGCCGCCCCCACGCACCCCGGCTTCCAGGTCACCTTCCGCGAGCGCCAGCCCGTGCCGCTAGGTAACCCTCCGCACTCAGAGACCTCACTCAGGATACGCCATCCTTAATTGTTGTTGGGGACAACACTATTACACAAATACAACTGTTGTGTATGTACATGTACCATGCCTGGAATGGAACGGTCGGCTGCGCCCGACGGCTACGTCTAGGTGACGTCAATAAACCAGTCTGCACTAAGCAAGCGTCGTTTCTGTTACTCCCATACCTATCAACAACTTATTATCATTTAAGCTCACATTGATATGTTATTTTTTTATTTAAAACTTAAGTATATTCTACATACTAGTTGTTCCCGTGTGGTTTTATTCGCGTGGAATTATAAAAACTTTATTTTATAATTTACATTTGTTAAATCCTCAATTTCAAAAGTACTGTTACCATAATAATCTTGTTTCCTTAATGTTGGCCTGTTGTTTATGGTCCCTTGCCTCCTTGAAGGTTTTTTCCAATTTATTTACCCCCTTAAACAGGGAGAAAATATATAGCCTAAAGCGTGTCGTAAGTGTAGGGCTTTTTATTAAAGAATAAGTTATTCAAATATATGTAGTGATTGCTGACATCCTACGCCACAAAGTGTGTGTTTACGCTTTATATTAGTATATATGGGGTGAAGTTTGGTGATTTATCACAGATGGTATGCTCATGGGGAAAAAATCAAATTTATGTTTATACTATTATAATAAAGCGTAAACACACACTTCTTTGTTGCCTAAGATGTCAGCAATTACACCATATTTTTGAATAATTATTTTTTTAATAAAAAGCCCTACACTTACGTCACGCTTTAGACTATATTTTTTAACGCCATTGAACTTAAGGGGGTAAATATTTTGGATTAAAACCTTAATGTGGGAAACAGACCATAAGTTGCTGCCAACATTAAGGAAGCAAGGTTGCCAAGTTTTGTCATGTCATGTCATTTTGACATTTGCAATTGATAATTTGACACATGTAATAAAATAAATCCTAATTTTATGGTGATGAAATCGCAAGGGAATAGCTAGTTTTTGAACATTTATTACGTGTTAGGTAAGATATCGTACACCAGCGACCTGTCGATCCGGCTCACGAACGTGCCGATAGTGACGCCGACGTGCGACGTGGTGGCCAGCGGCGTGTCGCTGCAGCTGGCGCCCGGCACGCACCTGCTCATCGTCGGCCCCAACGGCTGCGGCAAGTCCAGGTTATATCGCAAACTACCTCATATTATTTATAATACTAGACGACAAAAACCATGTTACACAAATGTGCCACAAGACTCGTCAAGTGGTAGTAGTAAGTAATAGGCAATATGCAAATTGTACCAAACTTTTTTTAAGTATACTTTATTACTATAAAAAAAGTCCTGCAAAGATTTTTTTTTAATATAATGTGATTTAGTGGCAAAATTTAATCATTAAAAAGTGTCTTTTTTCAAATTCCCTCGCTAAGTTTTAAAACGCACACTATTGCTCGAAGCAAGTGGCTTATCTAATATGGCGTCGCTGTGTTGACAATACACAGCTCATTTACGTTAGTTTATATAGAAATACACTCTTGAAGTATTTTACTGTAAACACGACATCAAAACCAACTTTAAAATAAAAAATTAATGAATAGAATTATTAATTACCACTTATACCAGGAATAATAAAAATGAATCGATTATTGACTTTTTGACCTTGAGAAACTTTGTTGTGTTTTACGTCGAAGTGACATCTGAGCGTATGTTATGAATGGAATAGACGATTGACGTCAATCGTCTCATGACAACTCCGGTCGCGTTTTAGTCGCTCGAAAATGGTCGTAATTTTATTTTATTATTTTTAGCTCAATGGTTGAATATTTTCGTGTCAATTTTTTTTGTGGTTATAACAAGTAGAATCGTTTAAAAAAATGAATAAAAGTACATGCATATTGCCTATTCCGTGTAAAGTGTGCAGGAGGCCTTATTTTAATCCTTTCTTACTTCATTCTTTTCTTATTGGATTTTATTTAATGAAAGAATATTATTGGTAGATTCTTTTTCTGTGCCTCTTCCGTCTATTAAAATTCGAAACTCATCTATGCAGACTCATCATATATTCATCTACGCTGCGGTTATGCAGCGATCGTTTCTCAATTTCAACGAATTTAGATAAAAAAAAAACACATATACATACACATGTTTGTTAAATTAGCGCGTAACATCCTTCGACCACGTTACCACTTAACTGTAGGTGTATTCGTGGTCAAGCGCTGACTTTAAAAAAAGGTAACGATTACGTGATTTTAATTCATGTTTTTTTTTTGTTTTTTCCTCTGACATTGATTCTGGCTGATTCATTTTAAAGTAATTTTAATACATTTAACGTAGATTACAATACAACAGTTTTTTTTTATAACTAATGTTTTGTATGTTTTCAGTTTATTCCGCATAATATCTGGCTTGTGGCCGGTGTTCGGCGGCGAGCTGGCGGTGCCGCGGCCGTGCGCGTGCGCGCACTGCGCCGGCGAGCCCGCCGCGCCGCCGCACTGCGCCTCCAGGCCAGTCATGTTCTACATACCGCAGAGGTATATACTTCTCTTCTTTGTCGCTTGAGTCTTTACAGACTCCTCGTGGTTATCACGTATCAGTGACCCGCTTCACAAGACGCCGCCACTCCCTGTACGCTGCCTTTGTCCCACGTTGATGCAAAAGTACGTCCATAGCCGTTCTAATCTGGTCAGGCCATCTCATACTATATATACATATATATACTACACATAGTCTGTAAAATCTTTTTTATTCAATTCTCGAATGTAATCTAGTTGATATTACTTGAATGTGACGTGATAATAGTTTGACAGTGGTAGAGCCCGCTTTAACATCTTCGCACTGCAGGGCTCGCCCCAGCAATACCACGATCACACAGAAAACAGACGTGAAGTGAGAGCAATTCCGCGTACAGTCTGATGAATGTGGTGCCTGAGGCCTAATTTTAGTCCCTCTCCCTTTCCGCCCTTTTCTTAAAAGGAAAGGATGGAAAGGAAAATGGATTTGACGGTCGAGGAGACGTATAGGAAGGGGAAATGTCCTCTTTATGTGCGTCTCCTCCATCAATGAAGGGTAGGCAACGCATCTGCAATTCCGGATGTTCATGGGCAGCGGTCGCTTTCTATTTCAGTGTATTTAGGTGGCAGCTCGCTCGTTTGCCACCTTATATTATATGAAAAAAGAATGTGATGTAATAATAGTTGAATGTCGTGTTCTGACACATTCCACTGAGACCCGGGACCTTCTATTGCACTCAGCTGGTCACCGAGAGGGTGTTTAGTCGATCAAACCCCAATAACCTTGACCAGGAGGGTATCTTGCAGATTCCTTGCGATGACATAAAATAAAGTATTGGTTGTTTGTCAGGCCGTACATGTCGGTGGGGTCGCTGCTGGACCAGGTGACGTACCCGGCGCGCGTGGAGGCGCAGGGGGCGGCGGCGGCGGAGGCGGAGGCGCGCGCGGCGCACATCCTGCGCGTGGTGCGGCTGGAGGCGTGCGCGGCGCGCCTGGGCGGGCTGCGCGCCTCCGCCGACTGGCGCGCCACGCTCTCCGGCGGGGAGAAGCAGCGCCTCGCCATGGCCAGGATGTTCTACCACAGGTCCATACACAGAGAGAGAGAGAGAGAGAGAGAGAGAGAGAGAGAAACACGCACAGACACACGCCATCTCAATTCATCTCTATCAGGAGTACGTACAATACGTACTGGAGTACGTACGCGTACAGACGCCGCACCAGGTTTTCCTTCTGCTAATAATTCTTTCCGCACGCAATCCATCTCTTTCTAAGTCTACCTCTACCGGTGTACCTCCACACTATCAATTAAATACACTAATATTATAAAAAAAGATAGAAATGTTTTTGAATAAGATATGAAATGAGTATATTAGAGGAAGTTTGAGAGTAGCCCCAGTGGTTGAGAAAATAAGGAGTAAAAGGTTAGAGTGGGGGCAAGTTGTGAGAAGGGATGCATCGCATGTGACAAGAAGGATGTTAGTTATGAATGTGGAGGTACATCGGTAGAGGTAGACCTAGAAAGAGATGGATGGATTGCGTGAAAGGTGACATGATGAAGAAGGGAGTGATGTCTGAGATGACGGATGATAGAGTGCTTTGGAGGACGAAACCCGGTGCGTCGACCCTACAGGAGTAGGATAAGGCAGGGGAGATGATGATGAACAATGTATAGACAATTCCGCATTCATTAATAATAATATCACGGTATAAGGTTAATTAGTTTGTAAGTATTGGAGACACAAAGACAGAGAGAGTTCCGCAGGCCGGTGTACGCGCTGCTGGACGAGTGCACGAGCGCGGTGTCGCTGGAGACGGAGCTGGTGATGTACGCGGAGGCGGTGCGCTGCGGCATCACCCTGCTCTCCATCACACACCGCCCCAGCGTCTGGTCAGTACCCTGCATCCTGCACCCTGCACCCTGCTCCCAGCCACAGCATTTTTTTTAATACATAAGGTGGCAAACCAGCAAGCGGCCACATGAATCCGCCCAAAATGGCGAAGCGACCGCTGCCCATAGACATCCGCAATTGCAGATGCGTTGCCTACCATTATACGAGGGAGGAGGAGACGCATATAAAGAGGATATTTCCCCTTTCTATGCATCTCCTCCACCGTCAAATCCACTTCCGCTTCCCTACCTCTCCTTATAAGAAAAGGGTGGTAAAGAGAAAGGGACTTAAATTAGGCCTCCGGCACCACACTCATCAGACTGTACACGGAATTGCTTCCACTTCACGCCTATCTTCTGTGTGGTCGTGGTATTACTGGGGGCGTGCTGGCCCTGCAGTGCTATCATGTTACAGCGGGCTCTACCACTGTTGAGCATTCGCATAGAAATAAAAAAACAAAGTTGTTCTGTTCCAAACTATCCTCTACTATACCAAATTTCATCGGAATCCGTTCAGCAATTTAAGCTACAAACTCTAACAAACAACCAACCAAACTTTCGCATTTATTATATTAGTATTCGAACAAAAAAAAATTTCTTAGTTATCTAAACTAATACTTAAACTTCTAATACTAAAACTTCTATACTGTAATATAAAGATGAAAGATTTGTATTTTGGACTAGCTGTTCCCGTCCGGCTTCTTCCGCATAAAATTTTAAAAATCACATTTTATTGTTCACATTTGTCAAATTATCAATTGCAAATGTCAGTATGACATGATGTCAAACCATGGCAATCTTGCTTCCTTGATGTTGGCAACAACTTATGGTCTCTTTCCCACATTAGGGTTTTTATCCAAAATATTTACCCCTAAGTTTAACGGCGTGAAAATAAGCCTAAAGCATGTCGTAAGTATGGGTTTTTTTTTTATTAAAAAGAGGGTTATTCGAAAATATGCTGTAATTGCTGACATGTTAGGCAACAAAGTGTGTGTTTACGCTTTATTATAATTGTATTCGATACACGTAAACTACTAGGCCGATTTCAAAGTTCTTGGACCATTTAAAAGCGTTGTTAATAGCCAGTAACGTAGGTTGAATTTCTTATTATTTTTAGTTTCACGCGAACAAAGTTACGGGCGACAGCTAGTATGTTATAATTTCTCATTTCTATTGCATTTGACTTTAGTGTGTTAATTAATTCTTTTTTAACAGGAAATACCACACCCACGTGTTAGAGTTCGACGGCGTAGGGAACTGGTCATTCCGTACTCTGGACAAAGACGCGCCTGTCCCCTCCCCTGGGCCCCCCTCCATCACCTCCGAGACTACCCCCAGCCCGCCTGACAGTGGAGGGGAACAATAACAAGATATAAACATGTAATTAAATTTGCAGAGACTTATTTGTCTTATAGATTCTTCTGTTTGTCGATAAATATGTGATTTTTATATAAATTAGGTATTTTTAGTGTTTATTCAAGACACGATCTAGGAAATTTTAGTTAAGTTTTACTTTTATAAAGTAATTTTAAATTTGTTCAGAATTAAATTCAACGAACATAGTTACCAAAAGGTATATAACAGTTTTAATCTTATGGTATTGTAAATAAGGTTTAAAATAAATCGTAACTAAGGATAATATACGTGCACTTTTAATAATTCTTATTAAAATATTTGTAGTTTTCGAGTAACTCCAATGGACCACAGATTATGTAATTTTTCTTAATATAAACGGGTTTTTAATCGTAATTCAAAATTAATTTGTGTGTATTCTACATTAAGGTTAGAATTTTAAAAATAGAATATTGCCAGATTAACAACTGTCAAGTTCAGAGGCTGTCATTTCGTAAGGGATATGTCATTCTGACAGTTTAGGTTATTTTTTGACAGTTTTTTTTTAGTATTTTGCGTAAAAACGATTTTTGAGATTTGTATGTCGTATACCAGTTATTTAGTTTTGTAAAGATACGTTTCTTATGTGATATTTCATTGTACTTGATTGTGTGTGTATAATCATTTTTAGTTACTTTAAGGTTAAATGAAATTTTTAAAGGCGCCTAGTTTACACATGCAAAGTTTTTTGTACTTGTTTAAAAATGCAAATTTATAAGTTAACTGCAAGTGTTTTTTTTATAATTATGAACTTACTGACCTTGCTACAAATCTAATTTTACCGTTTGATACTTTTTTTTTTAATCAGAAACATTATTTTATAAAGAAACAGTGAAATTTTAAAACTATAGTCATAAAAGAACCTTTGCTATCACAATCCACTAGGCGCCTGTTTAGTATATCATATTTTTAAAACTTGATTTTGTGATGAGATTTCTAATATGGCTGTTGACTTTTTTATTATTTTTTTTTACACAATAATTTGTGACACATTTATTATCGTCACAAAATAACAGGCATAATTTTCTGTCAGTGAAATTAAATTAAACAATACAAAAGGTTATTTTTAAAATTCAATAATTAATTGTCGATTTTTTTGTTTTTTTTTTGTGTTTTTAACTTAGGTTATCTATCAAATCTGTTAAATTGTGACGATTTTAAATATATTTATAATTTATTTAAACGCCTTTTGTTTGAACATACTGTACAGTGATGTCTGCGGGCGGTTTCACTAGAAAATAAGAATAAATGGGGTTTATTAAAATAAAGAGTTTTATTTCAACATAATAATACAAATCAGTTATGGTTAAATACGCGCTCAGTTTATAGTTTTAACTCAAAAGACGAATTGTTCAGTTATAATTGTGTAACTTTCACTGTATACTTCAACTAACAATTTACAATCAGATAAACGCGTAAAAATAAGCGTCTAAACTAGGGTTGTAACGGAGCTACGCTTCCGCATCCGCAAGTGCGGAATTTCCGCAAGAAATGATAACTCCGCATCTGCTTCCCCTTCCGTTATTTCTTATGCGGAATTATAACGGAGGTTCATGGGGCGATTAGATATATGTCAACTAACTATAATTGTTATCCTTCCGCATCCGCTTCCGTTATAATGGCCTCCGTTACAACCGACATCAGTTTATGTTTAATAAGATTATAAATAGACTATTGTTAGTCGATCAGTAATATTACTTTTAACCTTTAAATTCCGTTAAGCTAAATAAAAAAGTCATTCAAACCTTTCTCGTCAATTACAATAAATAATTTTTTCAAACCGATTTTAACGTCAGTGGAAGTCGACGGTTAGCATTATAAATAGAGAAGGTGTTGCCATTATTCAGCTATACTATTTATTAGTAAAAATAATTTATCAGTAAACAAAGTTCGACGTCCTAGGGAGAGGTGATAATGTACGCCCTTTGAACTAGTTGAGGAAAAAACCTAGTCATTATCCTTTACTTATCAGCCACCTGAGAATCAAAAGTTGAACGACTCGCTTGAAGTATCTTACGGTAAATGGGATAAACAGACCTAGTCTATCACGACAAAAAATTTCTTAGATGTGTTTCTAGCGCCTGGAGCGGATTTTTGACAAATTATTGCATTTAAAATATTGCGATCTTAGAAAAAAAGAATACCAAGAGCTGCGTGTTTGCACATATTTATAGTTAAACTGGCTGCTGCCCGGGACTTCTTCCGCGCGGTATTAGAAAACATACGAACTATGTAAACAACAAAAAACTAAGTATCATTATCCCATGTGTACTCCAGACTTTGTTTTTTATCTGTGCCAAATTTCAATAAGATATGTTACGAGTACCTAAACTTAAAAAACAAAATGTATGCATCCCACGGGAACCCTATTTCCGGGTTAAAAAGTAGTCTATGTGTTCTTCCAGACTATACTCTACATACATCTGTGCCGAATTTCATGGAGATCCGTTCAGCCGTTTAGGCTACAAACACTAACAAACATCCATCCATCCATCTAAACTTTCGCATTTATAATATTAGTATGATATACAACCTCGTTGATGTTTATTCTATCAGCGGGGGTCACTTAAAACACTTGGTTAACTGGAAAGTGTTTGACTTTTGAAATTATAGTTTCTATTGAAATTTTATCTTCAGAGAATGTCAATAAACTTATTATCCCTTGATGATTACAAAAAAAAACGTATAATCTGAACAAGAATGACATCAGAAAGCTGGATTATACGCGTCGATAACAAATTCTACAAATCCATGCCTCGTGTTAACACAGGACTTTCCCTAACAAATAATATATTTTGCTGAATAATTTCTACGAAATTCGAATCACAGTTTAATCTTTAGTTTTTTTATGTCCGGATCATTACCTTAGTAATAATACTTAACAATTTTCCTATCAGTTCTCGATCAATCAAACTCCGGAAATTGCGGCTTAACATACATTGACAGGCTTTTTTAGATTCTGTAATAATTTATGTAATTTTAACCTGTTTGTGGCACTGAAAGTGTAACTCTAACTCTTCGTTCACAAGCTAACGTAAACATGAAACTAATATTCTATTCTACCTTCGCGTAGTGTCGGATAAAGCCAGCGCGGGGCTTATAGCAAATTCTTCCAAGGGGCCTTTGGTTTGCTTTAGGTTCTTAAGTTCAGAGTATCAAATGACCAAAACTGTTAAATTTTATTTTGATGAAACATTAACGTCAATAAAGTCGTAAATGCGTACTAATTTTTACGCTTTAAAGTGACGAAATCGAGTTTTACATTTTCTTGTGGAGGTGAAGAAAAGGCCAAGTTTTTTAACGCTGCTATCTAAATTAAAATTTTTAATTTCTGTCAGAAAGGCGTTGGAAGCGGGGCCCATAGCATTTGTTACTCTTACTGTATAGCTAATCCGGCGCTGGATTCGCGAGTAACGCATTGCGATCCGTACACATTGTCGACGCGAGTCGTCTATTCTGTTAGTACAGGTATAAACGACTATAACCGCGTATTTATAAAATCTCGACTGTAATATTTGTCCTGCATTTTCATAATCGTTGCTTCTCATCACACTCTTGACAATCAGGTTGTTACCGACTTCGGCAATATAAATTGGATAATTACGCCTTGTGTACGAAAAGCCTTAAGATGTACATTCCTGGATTTATTTCTTACGTATTTCAGTGACATGTCATTTACACTTGCAGCAATTAACATTTGGGATAAACAGATCTTACGGTCACAGTTCGCTATTCAGTACTGAGTGGGAAGCGTATTTAATTCTTTAACTGTGTCTTGAATTTCGATGTTCGTTAACGTGAGGATTCATTGATAAGATACGTGTAATGCAAATTTCTCGTCACTTCTCACGTCATATCATGGATTAACAGTAAGCTGTCACCATATTTATATCGTTCAGGTTCTTTTTCTAATAATCCTCTTCAAAATTTCCACTACGAACTTCCCGTTTAAATCTCCATATCTGTGAAATAGTTTGCAAAAAAAAAACCTGTTATCGTTTGTTATCGGCCAGTGGCCACGTGGCCACCACGCTTCTACTTTGTATATTTTCAACGGCGATGATTTGCGAATTCAATAAGATAAGTTATTTCTTTCCGCGTTTGTGTTGTGGTTTTTTATTACGTTATGAGTAATGTGGTAATTGCATCTATATGCAAATATAAATCAAGACTATTTAATGAGAATTTAAATGCTCAAGTTGTACATCCGTCTCGAAGGACCATAATAAAAGTATAGCTACCTTTTTTTAACATATATCAAAAACATACTAACTGTATGTATCACAAATCCACTATGGTCAAAGTGATAAAGTATAGATGGTGTTGAAAGTAATCAAACACGCAAGGTGTTCGTGTATTAAACCTGTCACGTATTGTCATGCTGACAGCTGGACCACTTCCAGCCACCGTGACAGCTCGTGACACTCGACATTTAACCCTTGACAGCAGATAATTGTCCTAAATTAATTTAAATCGCACACAAATTGCGCAATTGTAAAAGTAAGAGCCACGAGATTTTGTTTTTTTAATTATCACGCGATGACGAAATAATTAATTAATTTGCGATACGTTTGTAATTCGAGAGTAACCTGAGGTCGGTATTTAAGCTAGTGTTGATTTTATTGTTAAATTTTAAATTCAAGTCGCTTATAAAATTATTTACAGGTCGCGTCTCCGCGTCCTAACTCCTGAAGTCAAGTGTTTTATATCAAATATTGCAAATTTTGAGATCTATTCCACTTGAGTGGAGCGTCGGTGGCTCTGTGGTTTAAGCACTTGACTTGTAATCTACAGGTCTTGGGTTCGAACCCCGCTGTACTAATGTGATTTTCGATTTTTCGAATTTTCATATGTACATAATTTACCCGACGTTCTTACGGTGAAGGAAAACATCTTGATGCCTGCACATATCTGCGAAGAAATTCTAAAGATATGTCTGAAGTCGACCAACCCGCACTTGGCCAGCGTGGTTGACTATGGCCTAGTCACTCTAATTTAGGGTAGGCTCCGAGCCCCTCGGTGGGGATATATAGTGAGCTGGTGATGATGATTCCACTTGAACTGTATTAGTATTTACATTTCTTCATGTACAATTACAAGAAAAGTATCGCAAATAATTATTACTGGATTAACCTGAGATACAACGGTCAGATGTTTACATCTATTCAGTTCAACGAAATGTCATTGCATTTAAGTAGCTTACGTATTTATATAGGTAATTGCGATAATTCGACGGCAACAAATAGACAAATAAAAAATATATTTAGCACGTTTTATCTACGTGCTAACGAACTGCTGGCGAAAACAGGAGATGACGGGAACTGGCCGTCTCTAACTAAAGAAGTATGTCAAAGTTTACATTAAGATAAAAATATTTTACGCCTCATATTCGATGATTAAGTATATTTTTAACGAAGTAAATACATTAAACTGACACAATTATACATATCTTACTTACTTTTATTTACTTATATATGATACCAATATTATAAATGCGAAAGTTTAGATGGATGGATGGATGTTGTTAGCATTTGTAGCCTAAACGGCTGAACGGATCTCCATGAAATTTGGCACAGGTTTAGAGCATAGACTGGAAGAACACATAGGGTACTTTTTATGTCGGGTTTAGTTACGGTTCCCGTGGGATACATTAATTTCATTTTTTAACGTTTACTCGATAAATCTGCAACGTTTCATCATATCTTATTGAAATTTGGCACAGATGTAAAAGAAAGTCTGGAGTACACATGGGAGTAGGTTCATCCCTGAGAAATATCCGGTTCCCGAGAGATACGTTACCT